ATGGCTGACCCATTTGGTAATGGGGAAGGAGAGTGGGATGGCATTGTGGAGGGCCATGCTTACTACGTTACTAAAACGACGACGACCGGCGATAACATCAAGGTAGTTCTGCTCAGGTAAGCTTATGTTTTTTTACACTTTTTTTCTCGTTGGATTTTGGCTAATACATAAAATGACGCGGTTAACAGAAATCCCTGGGGTACGGGCCAAGGCGACTGGAAAGGTCCGTACTCAGACGGGTCCAAAGAATGGACTCCCGAATTGCAAACTGAGCTACAGCATTCGTTCAGCAGCAACTCGGGTTCATGGATATCCTACGATGATATGCTATCCAAATTCCAATACATCGGTCGCACCCGCCTTTTCAGAGAGGACGATTGGCGCTGCTCTCGGTGCTGGATCGGTGTCGACGTGCCCTGGCACACGCAATGGCAGGAAAAGTTCCATATGCGCCTAACTCGCGATTCGCCTCTAATCGTCCTCGCGCTTTCGCAGCTCGACAGTCGCTATTTTAGAGGCCTGGAGGGCCAAGACGTGTTCAAATTGCGCTTGCGCGTCCTCAAGCAGGGAGCGTCCAACCCGGAGGACTACGTGGCGTGCTCGCGCACCTCCTTTATAGAGCGAACCGCTAACGTCGAAATCCTGGATATGGCGGCCGGCAACTACTCCATCTGGATTATGGTGAAGGCTTATCGACAATCGGGCCAAAAAAGCGTCACCGATGTGGTGGAGAACGAGTGCCGCAACATTGGCGATAACGAAAAGCTAGAGAAGGTCGGGCGCGCCTACGACTTAGCCCACGCCAAGGCTGCCTGGTACCAGCAGGAGCTTGCGAAACGACGGGGACATGGCAAGCGTGAGGTGGAGCGCGAGGCCGCGGCAGAGAGTGCTGAAAAGGAAGCTATCAAGAAGGACGCCAAGGCTGAGAAAGCCAAGGGGGAGCAAGCGCCTGGGGAAGTCGAGGCTTCGGAAAAGCCGAGGCCGGAGTCATGGGACAAGATGTGTGTGATGGGCTTACGCGTATACAACAAAGACGAAGGGCTCAAGCTCCGCGCTGTTATAGACGGCGAGGTACTGGATGACTGCGGCATGGGTGATAAGGGCACCACGGATGTGGACGATGCGCAGGCTTGTGCTGGGGATGATCCGGGTGCGGGGGGTGATGGCGGACTTATGTATGCGCTCGGCAGAATTCTGGCCACCCTGTGGAAGTTCATTATTGGAGCTTGTCTCAAGGAATGGAGCGGTTAGAATCGTCCAGCACCGGGGATCTATAAAGGGATCTGGCAGGCCAACCAGGAAACAGGGATAAGGGATTAATTAAAGCGTGAAAATCCCCTCCGTGGATCTCCAAAGAGGCGTGGAAGGTCCTGATCTATACACTCGTGATCCCGCCTCGGGGGGCGAGCCACTGGCAGAGTTTTTGGCGCGTTGGGATAGGGAGAGAGACGCTGCGGGTGCGAAGATTGGTCCCCAGGGGCCCTAATCGCTCTACTCGCCGCCGGGGTATCGCCGGCGGTACGGCGTAAGCTCAACCTGGTAGCAACGTGGCCAACAGAGCTGCAGGCCTTTTTGGACCTCCTTCGGGGCTTTGAAGGAGCTTCCGAGGGCGCACAGGGACAAGGAGCTGCAAAAAGACCCGGAGGGGTGCCGGGGCCGGGGCCAAATGCTGTGGCAGGCGAGGGCAGTAGCAGCAAAACTTGCAGTAGCAAGAAAAGGAGGCCCGCAAACAACACCGACAAACTGCAGGACGTCGTAAAGCCACGGTTAGGGAAGCGCAGGCGGATGGGGAAGACGGACGAGGACACGACAGACAAGGACACGACAAACGAGACGGAGGAGGCGCCGGCCAGCAGGAGCAACCCCCTATCGCAAGAAGGACGAAGCAAGAGACGCAAGCCCTCGACAAACGAGCAGGAGGAGAAAGACGTCCCGAACTGAGGTCGAAGAAAAGGAAGGTGGCCAGCACGAGCAACGGCCCAAGCAGCATCCTGCGAGCTTCCGGGGCGCCTGCGGTCTCGGCTGTCACCACCACCACCACCTCCACTACCATCCATACCTCGTCCTCGCCCCACCGTCGGCGACTTAAGCGCATGGCAACACCATAGTGGTAGCGGCAGGAGCATTAAAACCGCGTGGAGCGCGGATAAAAACGCTGCGGCCCCGGGTCAACGGGAAGGTGGCTATCAACCTAAAAATAATGGCGACATGGTACCAAAGCAGCCCAAAATCAAAAACGCCAGTGTGCCTCCCGCCTCCTTCCATCCAATAGCGCCATGCAATGCTTAAAACAACAGGTGTGCGGCTATTAGCCAATCTTTACCCTGTACTCCCAATCGCAATCGATCCTTTCCTCTGTATTGTTCTCTTTTATGCCTCAAGCACGCGTCCTCTGCCGACGGCCCCTGGTGATCGCACCCCGCTGCTCACGGGTCCTCCCTGTGGTTCTGGCGCCTTGTCTGGACCGTAGATTGTATCTTGATACGCCGCCGCCGCCGCTGCCGCCGACTGACTCCTCCGCCTGTGCTGCTACCCTGGCTGGCTTCCTGGGGACGGCGGCACCGCCCGTCCTGCGGGGTGCTGCGGGCTTCCTCTTGGTCACGCGGCCCTCCATTGTCTGGGTTCCGGCGTCTCTCACCCGGGCCGCGGGGCGCGGTGGCGGTGATTGCGGCGGCGGCGCTATGGGCGGCTGCTGTTCGGGCGACTGCTGTTCGGGCGACTGGTTTTCGGAATCTGAACTGCTTCGCGGCGGCGACGGGATAGGCGGCTGCAGCTCGGGTGGGTGCTCTTTCGGCCCCGAGCTGCCCCGCGGCGGCATCGGAGGCAGGGGCGAAAGAGGTAAGTGTGGCAAGTCCGGCTTCTCCGGGGGGTCGCTGCTGCCATCAACTCGTTTACCGTCCGCATCGATGCCCCGGTAAGGTTTGCCCGCCAATCTCGCCAATTTCGCCTTATTGCCATCGAGCAGTTGTTGTTGCTTTTCGAAGTAGCCGTCCGGGATAAAAATGGCGAGATGTTTGACGAGGTTGTCAAAGGTGCGACGATGGGCGAAGCTGACGATGGATTCCCAGAGATTGGGGACATGGCTGGTTAAAGCCGGATGGCGAGTGATCGCAGTGGCGATTTTGTTGAAGGAGTTTCTCAATTCCGCCAGGCGCTGTTCTTTCCGTTCGCCGAGCAGGCGGTAAAACTCCTCCTCTGTGGATGCGCACGTCGCAATCTCGCAAACGTCGTGGTGGAAGGCTTCGGCCTGCTGGATGGGCGAAAGCTGCATGTTGTACTTTTGGTAGATGTCGGTAAATAGCGTCGTCATATCGATGCCGAGTTTATCGGCTGGCCACCGCCACTCGGGCATGGTGGCATAATCGATGGGCGGTAGTTGGACGTTCATTTTGGCCGATAGCACAATACTGCTGGGCGATTGCGGCAGCTTTGATGGTGAGGTGCGGTTATGAATTAGGTGAGGTGCACGATGACTGACTGTCGCGTTTGGCCGGCCGTCAGGTTTTGTCGCGCCGTGGGCGAAGTTGATTAGTAATGGTGCATAGACCATGTAGGCGCAGACCGTGCAGCTACGCTGTGCAACGGTTTAGGTGCTGAGCTAAGTAGCACGTGCCTCGCCGGCGCCGTAAATTGAGGGGTTAAATCCAGCCCCTCAATTTATGGCGCATTCGCAGGCGCAAACAGAGAGAGACGAACGTATTACGTTAGCGCCCTTTGCACTAGATAGCGCCAGCACGCACCGGCTTCGATTTCTTCCCAACAAATCCCACTTTGACCTCTTTTGGAGCCACCCTATCGAGCGTGGCATTACCAGTCGACTGTCAACTGCGGCCAAGCGGACTGCCGTGGCCC